CTAGTTGTAAATTAATGTTAAAGTTTATACTAAAACAATTAGACAACTCGGCCTCGTTGTCTATGAGCAAATAGTCAACTCGGCTTCGCCTCGTTGACTACTCGCTCATAGACAACTCGGCCTTGTTGTCTAATTGTTAAATAGGACACTATAATTATATCACCTATTAAACAGATATCTTCTCTAAGCGAACACATTTGTGAGGTACCAAAGGTGTCTGTTCAATAGGGGTTCAACTATATTACTTACATTGGGACCAGAGAATCGTGTCCACCTAAAAGGGGTTTCTGCTGAAGAGAGGTGTCCGTTTATAGGGGTTTGACTGTACAGTTAACATGGCATTTATTCAGGGTGATAGCTTAGTTGATAAATGGTTAGAAAAGTAACCCAAAGGTCATCGTCTCATTGGGTCTTTTGCATAATACATAGCATAACAAAAATGTCATCCAGTCATGATCTAGTCTTTGGAATTATGTTCCATTGTTTTATCATTTTCTTTTGTAAGTCACCAAGGGCCAGGGACGTAGCGACGGAGACGATTTGAAAATTTCAGGTAAATCCATGAAAAACTGGCATTATTAATAAATCAGGTAAAAAATCTTGAAAACCCATAACGAAAACAGGCAAATAATAGAGGATTGAAATGCGGAAAATAGATGAGGTTTTAATTCTTTATGGCTTCATACGTTGATACGTTCAGAGGTTTCCGTTTTATCAACGTAGCCAGACTTTATTTTACGAAAAGAATATTGTCTATTTTACTATTTCCATCGGCAAAAAACCATAATTTTTTCGCTAAGTAACATGCGCTTCCGGTTTTGGCTCTACACACAAGGTCAAGGTACGTGCAAGAAATTATATTAATTTCATCTACTTTTTGATAGTAATACAGTGTATTTGAAATACATAGAAGACATAGAATTATTTGTTTGCTTAGATTAATACAATAACAGGGATATATTCGGATGTAAATTTTGAACGTCTGTATGTGTGATGCACATGTGTGATGTGTATTGTGTGCCGTGTATTTTGTCATATTTTTACTTATATAGTAGTTCGTTAATAATTCTACACAAATAGCCGATATATACACAATATTCGTCTAATATCTAAAGATTTGTCTCGTAGATTTGTAACATTGTTAAATAGTTTAGGTTGAATGAGCCATTACGAGGGCATTGTCCTAGCCTTACTGTTCTCTATATTATACGCGTATAATCTTTATGCATTATGTATTACACAGTGAACAACGTGAACAACTACGTCTTGAGACTTGATGTTAACCTAAGTATGTGACTTTTTGTGATTTTTGGGCAAACAAAAACGAGGATTAATGGAATTAATGGAGAAACAAATTGGTCTTAAGGACACTTTTAATCCGTTCCTAAAGGTATTGCATCCAGAAACACCAGGAACAAAGCCCAGCATTACACAGCGAATTGTCCATTTTCTTTAAAAATGCGCTGAAGGAACACAGACGAATGGAAGAAGAAAGTCAGTCACAAGGTCTTCAGGCAAAACCCATGTCATATGTACGATCGCTGCGAACATTGCTCTTAAAGTGGCCAAAAAGCATGGTCTTTTCAAGTTGGCTTCAAAGTTTTATAAACTACTTCTGACAGCCGCCCATGCCGTTGGCGTTGTGAAAAATGAGAGATCATTCAGTTTACTGAAGATTGTAAAAAGTTATATTCACGCAATAACATATCTGGAAAACGTTTGAATGATTGCATGATCCTTGCCGCTGAAAAGAATATCACTGATGTCTTTGATGTTATAGCCTGCGAACAGGCTCTCAAGCTGAATTGAGAGCCTGCATCGATGACTAATGAATTTGAATATCTGCCCCGTAACGTTCGTTTTTCCAAATATGGAAT